GTGAGGAAATCCAATCCAATTAGATCTTCAGTACCATAGACGGATTACTTTCTTCTGAGCTCCACAGCTGCCAATCTTCCTGCAGGAAGTGTCAGATGTAAGCGACAGCAACAATGTGAAGATGCCTGTGGCTTTGCATTCACTCATCTGCATTTGTTGCAAAACTTTCGGTAGGTCCTTTTGCAGTACACTGCTTATCGGAGCTGAGGACCTGGTTACCCATTCTAGCTACTGCCTGACAGTCCTCACCTGGAGCCCCTGATCTTCGTGGATCTGGGCCTCTTGGCGCCGGACGTTCTTTCATCTCTTTATCCTCCTTCTCTGTGGTGCAAAGCCAGTACAGCTGCTGGGTTTAGCTAGTCGTTCACTGAAGTAGGAATTTGTGAAGAAATAGCAGGAAGTAGCATGTTTGATTTCGTTTTGAGTTCATGCCCTAGTCAACCAAGCCATTAGGCCCTTATTGGGCTGATTCTAAAGTGAAAGTTTGCCCCTCAGCCACTTCAACATAGTGAGACCCATCCTACATTATCCATCACTGCTTGTCTTCTTCCTCATGCAGCCATGTGCAAGCAATTTGTAACCTGAAGCAATATAATGCATTCCAAGCATTTGGCAAGTAGCTCACCCTGATTCTTGATGGCCTACATTATGCCCCTCTGACACAGCCCTGAAAACCTGGAATCAGCTTCAGCAATATATTTCCAAGTCGGCATGGTGAGTGACTTGGAGGAAAACTTGCAAAAAGCGGTGTTCCCATGTATCTTGTCCTTCCAGATTGAAATGGTCGGGGGTTTGGAAGGTGCTGTCTAAGGATCTTTGGTAAATTTGTGCAGTGCATCTTGTACACATTGCTGCTACTGAGCGTTGGTTGTGGAGGGAATGGATATTTGTGGATATGGTGCCAATCAAGTGAACTGTTTTGTCCTGAAGTGGCTATGTTGAAGGCTTCTTCAGTGCTGACTTGTGCCTTGTAGATGGTGGGCAGGCTTTGAGCAGTTAAGAGGTGAGTTTTGCTGCAATATTCCTAACCTTTGACCTGCTCTTGTGGCCACTAGTCCAGTTCAGTTTCTGGTCAATTGTAACCCCCAGGATGTTGAAAGTGGGAGATTCAGTTGTTGGAGATGGTCATTGCCTGGCATTTTGTGTGGTGCGAATGTTACTTGCTACTTGTCGCTCAAGCTTGGATATTGTCCCGGTCTTGTTGCATTTTGATATTGGCTGTTTCAGTATATGAGGAGTTGCTAATGGGGCCGAACATTGTGCATTCATTATGCAAACAACCCCACCTATGACCTATTGTTGGAGGGGAAGGTCATTGATGAAGATGGTTTGGCCTAGGACACTACTCTGAGGAATTCCTGTAAAGATGTCCTAGAGCTGAGGTGCCTGACCGCCAGCACCCACAACCATCTTCCTATATTCCAGATATGAATCCATCAAACAGAAAGTTTGCCCCTGATTCCCATGGGTTCCAGTTTTGCGAGGCTCTTTAATGCCGTTCCCAGTCAAAAGCGGCTTGATGTCAAGGCTGTCATTCTCACCTCACTATATTCTCTATTCGTGCTTTTTCTTGCCTTTGTGCCTTTTTTTCCAATTTGCCAATTCCTGCCCCATTTTTAGTTTATATCCTAAGTGCATGGCGGCATTTTTTCTGGTTGGTCCGAGTTAGGGCCCTGTCTTCCGAGCCCGAGTGGCATTTCGGCAGCATTGTTTGTGAATGGTCAATATTGTGTGTGAGGTGAAACCAAAAGTCAACTTAATAATGCCAGAATTTGCTCAAGGTTCTCATGCTGTTTGTTTGCATAAACGATGAGATAGCTAATCACATGTATTTGGGCAACCTTTTGAATTTGTACTTAGGCCACAAGTTTCCAACAATCTCCAGGCAGCTTAACGTTACTATTTTATTGGCTGTCATTTTATTTCTACTTCATCATTTCTTTCACAGTCCTGTAAAATTGTAAAGCCCATAAGGTTGCAGGAATTCCAGACTGCAGACATTCGGTGCCTGTTTCATTCAGATCCTCCTGTAGACCTCCACTCCACTTCCCAACCCCCCGACTTTCCTCCACCTCCCAACAATCCAGTTGTATCTGGAAATAGTCCCAGCCTATGCAGACCATGGAGACCAGCCAAGCATTCGGTTGAGGGCCTTGAAAAGGCCCCCCCTCCATAACTTGCCAAGGCATGTAATGAACACAATGAATGTTTCACAGCTGCAGAAGCATTAAACCATTTGAAGGGTTCCCGGAACTCACTTTGGAGCAGTTTCATTTTCCTGACTGGTTTCACAAACTAAACCAGTCACATCACTGATCTTATCCTTGCCATTTGGGATGGAACAGACAACGGGCTGTGAGGGCAGACACAAGTTCTGTGGAACTTACACAGGCAGAGCCATAATGACAGAAAAGAATGTAATATTGTATCATCGTGTTCATAAGGAAGAACTCTGGATATCTTGTGTGATACAAAATTGGCACAAAGAAGCCCAATGCCACTGAGGCCATATTCCTCTGAGTGTTCAAGAGCTTTCTACCGCAGTTCCTGCTGTTATAATGATGGGCTGGAATCTCAAAATACTACTGGCTTGTTAAATTCTTAATTCCAAAATTTGCTATTAGAAAGAAAACTTCTGCAAAGATAAGGTTACTGTAGTTGTCATAAAAATTCTGTGTGGGGCTGATGAGACTTAAATGTGTCAAAGAAAGTAGAAAGACTGGTAGTGATTTTCTGTGATGACAACAGCAACTGTAGCCACGTTTTTATTTTCCCTCTGGAAGATTACACAAGAATAGGGATTAAAAAAGCAAGTTCAACTCTGTTGGAGTGTACTAGTGAGACTGAACATTCGCAGGAACACCAGACTGCGTCTAAGCTTTAGCATGCTATGAAGGTCATCATGGAGGAGTTATTTCGTAGTTACCCCTGTGTTGCTAGTAAAGATCATCGTGCATTCCAAGTGCTGCAGCCAGTTCAAAAAGAGCTATCAAGACAAAGGTACTTTAGCAGCCTACAAACCAAGAATCTCAAAAATCAATTGTTCAACCAACAGCGTCAATGCTACTGGTAACCTCCATTTGTAATGGCCACAGTGTTGAACTGTACACTCTTCGTGAACAATAGAAAAACCGATCTGCAATTTTTTTTTAAACTTTTACCTTTTTTGGACTCACTTTGTATTCCTGATCTCAGTTTATGTGTTTTGTGGTAGCATTTCTTCTTGAAAGTAATAGTTAATAAACCCACTGTTTTTGTTAATTCAAAAAAGCCTAACTATAGGTTCATTTGAGTCAGGAGGAAAGGTGTTCACAAGGGAAGAGATATTTTATAAATTAACCTTCCTGCAGCCAACTGAGGGGGTGGGTAAATAGAAAAGGAGAGCTTGTTCATTCTCCTCACCTGGGATTTTAACAAATTAGGGAGCCTCACTGGGGTCTGGTTGTAACACCTGCAACAAATGTAGGAATTATTTAAACATGATCATGAAAATCCTGACCATGAGTCAGAAGCCTATTGTTTAAGTGATGACTGCATGCACATTAAACCCTGTACCCTGACCAGTGCAGCAAAATAAGATGCAAGCAATCAGTAAACTGTACCTAAAGGAATTCTAGCCCAAATTAATGTAAGTCTCTTTGAGGAGTCATATCAATTCAATTCGAATGTTATTGTCCATTCAGAAATTCATTGAGGGTTCATTCCTTGCTCATTAAAAAATACATATAAATTAATAAGTAACATGCAAAAAGAATAATTACATCAACAATATAAGATTCCATTTTAAATTTTGAGTGACTCATTTAAATTGGTGTAATTGTTCTTAATGAAGAAGTAATACACATTTTGAGATCACCTTTTACAACCTCAGGATGTTTCACGGCACATTTTGACCAAAGGAGTAAATGCTTTTAAAAATTGGAAAAAAGTTACCACAGCAATTTGTGCACAGCAAGAACCCACAAAAAACACTGTGATAGTGACCAAAAAGTTTGCTTGAGTGATTTTTTTCAAAGATAAGTATTAACCAGGACACTAGTGATGACTCACCCTGCTGTTCTTTAAAATAGGACGGGGGGGGGGGGGTCTTTTACATATCCCTGAGAGAACAGGGTGAGCCACAGTTGAATTTTTCATTAAAAATAGCAGCACACCTTTTAATACTGTTTGGAATGTGTGATTGTTTGTGACCTATCAATGGGTATTGTGTGCTTTACTTGGAGTTATAGATAGGAAATAGGACAATAAGAAATTAAGATCATGTAACAAAAGAAGGGAGTAATCCCAGTAGGCTGTAAAGTTTTCCTTATCAATTCCCTTGTAGAATTGTGTTTTCTTTTACATTTTCACATTGCTGCCAATTGATAGGACAAATTGTGCCTGGCAAGGTTTATATGAAAACTGAGTTGATATAAATTAATGTAAATGCTATTGTCCTACATGCCTTAAAGTGCAGGGGCACAGATTTCCAAAGTAGAATGAGTTCAAAGATTCTACGTGTATTTTCATTTACAGGCGACAGGATTGTGATACCATAGCTTTGAAGTTACAGAACTAGTATCCATGGTCCTTGACCAAACATGAGGTCAAATCATGGCAGCTGGGAATTTAAATTGGGTTAATTAGATAAATAATAGACTAAAAAGCAAGTATCAGTAATAGTAACTATGGAGCTATCAATTAGTCCAAAAAAACCTGTCTGTTCAACACATGCCTTTTATGGAAGGAAATGACTCTAGACCATTGGAATGTGGTTGTCTCTGAACCATCCTCTGAAATGGCCGAGAGAGCTACCTAGACGTATTCAAGAAGATGGCTCACAGTTACCTTTTCAAGGGCAATAGCTTGTAATGAAAGAGTGGAAAATCTGGATTTTGGGGTGGACATCACTGCTATAAAAATGACCAAGGGAAAATATCAATATCAGTAAGTTCTTGGTCGTGTTTTTTGTCAACATCAGATGAACTGCATTTTGACATTAATTATTCTTTATTTTTCAGATCATTGAAGACTGGAAGTATGTTGCTATGGTAATCGATCGTCTGTTTTTGTGGATATTTGTGCTTGTGTGTGTAATTGGCACATTGGGACTCTATCTTCAACCTTTATTTCAAAATCACATTCCACCAGATGTATTTTCTGATGCAGAATAATTGTTCTTCCTTCTATGATTTTCCAAACTCAAAAGGTAATGAAAATGAGAGTCATCCAAGCACATGTATTTTACAGATACTCAGTGAAAGTGAACTGCAACTTTGGAGTTCGTATGGTGTCAGTGATCATTCAATTTAAACATGGCTGTATGCTCATCTGAAATGTTAACTCAGCAGGTATTGTTGCCCTCTCTAGGTTATCCTATTTTTCTCAATAGAGTTAGGGCAAAACTAATTTGCCACAAATCCAATGGCAGCAAGTTCGACTTATTTTTGTTTAAAATGGAATATTATTGGAGTGCAGCACTTAGTGGTTTGAGTGCCTACTATTACCTGATTAGTATTATGCTTGATTCAAATATTACCACATTAGCGGGGATAGATATAACAGAAAGCAAATAGAAAATGAGGATGGCAAATTATGTTCCAGCAATCATCGTTCTTCTCTAACTTGCGCTATGAATTCTATACCAAAAAATTTCATCTCTAATGATGAGTAATTGAACTTTGATTAGGATATTGTCTTCCTGCAAACCTAATTGGCAAATCTTTGGGTGAAAGCCATGTAGGTTGAATATGTGGATGTCCCTTTGATCAAGGTGTGTGCAGTTCATGCTGTGTTGCTTTGTAACTTTATTTGTGCCATTGCATTGTTTGTTAGTTAGCATTTTGTAGAACCACTAGGGTTTTTAAATGAATTGGAATTCAGCTTCCCAATGAAATCACATTAGAAGGCTGTTCGATTCAAATGTGCTTACAATGCCATGCTCATGTAACCATGAGTGCAACAGATAATTGCTAGAAACTTTTAAATATATATATAGAATACATTGTGACTCACTGAGACATTGGACATCAATAATCAATAAAAGTTCCATTTTCAAACTCCATGTGTAAGTGGACCTGTTCATATCTTTTCTCTGAATTAACTGTCAGATTATTCTGCTATTACCATTATTAGATCTGTCTGTAATATGTTGAGACTCACTTGAACTGTTGTTTACAAGGACCTCATTCTAACAGATGCTAAATATTCTAGCAAATGCTAAAGATCAAACAGATGTATGTTACAATACTAGACTGAGATGAGCACGTGCTCTGTTAAGATTTTCGGTTCCACATAATTTAGTTTATTGCTCCAAATTCATCCACAGACTTTTTTTAACTACAGTCCTCAGGTTGCAGGTGTGTTCCACACAATTTCACTGAAGCCAGATTTTCAAACGTCTTTGTTTTGTCAAGAGCTCATACAAGATTAATAGCTGAGTATATAGTACTGTCAACAGCAAAAAAAAGTGATTGATGTTATTGGAAAACATCAACATTTTCTTGTACATGTTTAAAATATCAGAGTAATTGTTACCTTTTTTAAAGTTATCTGAAAGTCTTATCTTGCAGAGAAGTCGTTCTTGTACCTGAACATACATCTCAATGGTAAAAGTGAGCACCACAAAAGCAGAAATGTCAAAACTCTTCCTTCAACTAGAAAGGACTGTTACTTTAGCAGCATTTTGCTTTCATTCTTCTGTTTCACAGTCACTATCCAGATTTGATCTGTGGGGGCACAAGAAATGGCACAGGGCTATAATTTGTTGGATCCCCTTTGTATTTATAAATCATGTCATTTCCTGAGGGGCCTGGAGTGTGAGAATTTAATTAGCACACAAGGTTGTATCCAACACAACTCACATAGAATTTCACATAATACCTGCTAATGCCTGTTTCACATGGTCTACTCATTCCAGCCATATAACATGGACATTGAGAGCCCATTACATTCAGACCTGCTTTTAAATACAGATTTTATATTGCTACTACCAATATTATCAAAATGTTATACTATTCAATGATCGTTCAATCCATGTATTTAGAAGTTAAAGAGGACAATAAGCAAAGGATAAGAAATAAGAATACATGAAATAAGAGCAGGAGTAGATCATACAGCCGCTCGAGCTTGCTCTTTTAAGTGCATAATCATAGTTGATCTTCTAGCTCAACTCCACTTTCTTGCCTGCTCCCCATTTCACTTGATTCCCAGATGATTGAAAACTATCTATTTCAACCTTGAAAGTATTCAACAATGGAGCATCATAAACACCTAAGGTAGAGAATTCCAAAGATTTACAAGCCCAAGTGTATATATCTATCCTCGTCTGTCCTAAATGATTTACCTCTTGTGCTATGGCTTTGCCCTAGTGTTCTAGATTCCTCTGGCTAAGGGAAACAGCCTCTAAGCATCAACTCTGTGAAGTCCTTTGAGAATCTTGTCTGTTTCAGTTGGATCACTTCTTATTTTAACAGTGTCAGAGAATGGAATTCTGTTGCATTCAAGCTTTCCTGATAGGATGGTACATTCATCCCAATGACCAATCCAGTGACCCCTGGTCAGACTGCTTCCATAGCAACTATGTCCTTTTTCACGTGTGGAGATCAAAATTGTGCATGGCACTCACTAAATCCCCATACAATTGGAGCAAGACTTCCTTATTCTTGCACTCTAATTTTCTTACAATAAAGACTAAAAAGTCTAAAAAACTAAAAGACTAAAAAACTTATGCATCTGCTTTAGTTTTATCACTATCACAGATGAATATGTCAAAATCAGCTATGAGATGCTGAGATACTTGTACTCACAGTGATAATTTTTAAATGGATATATTCCAAAGATGGCTCTTGAAGATTTCAAGTGACTGGGCAGTCACGTTTTTGACTAACAGCTTGTACATTGTGGGGTTGTCCTCAGGAAAAAAAAGGAATTGTTGATGTACTGCCTTGGAAATAAATGGCCTGTTTGGTTTGTGTGGATGACTATTTTGTGTTTTGTGATTATCAAAAGGCAGTAAGGACTTATTTCTGTCAATTTTCATCTACCTAATTGACTGGTGCACCTTTATGTTATGTCTGTGTTTATGTCACTACTGGGCTGAGGTATTTCTGTATGCAAACATTTGAAATGCAATGGAAATGGACAGCTTCAATACCTACAGAGTCAAGAATGGTGCTGAATATTGTGCAATCATCAGCAAACATCCCCATACCTGACCTTATAATGGAGGTAAGTTGTTGGTGAAGCATGTGGAGATTGTTGGGCTTAGGACACTACCCTGTGGAACTCTGGCAGAGATGCCCTCGAGCTGAGATGACTAACCTTCAACAGTCCTTCCAATATTCCTTTGTGCCAGATATGACACCAATGGAGAGGTTTTTCTTTTCCCCTTGATGCCTATTGTCTCCAGTTTTGCTAGGTCTCCTTGATGCTACACAGACAAAGGTGAGCTTGCTATCAATAGCAGTCACTCTCACCTCCTCTCTCGAATTCAGCTCTTTTCTCTACTTTTGTCCGTATTTAGCACGAAGGTTTGTGGTCTTTGCCCAGGCTGATTTCAAATCCATTCATTTGAAAATATGGGCCAACACACCATTGCACAGATCCAGAATAACATTGAATATCATCAGTTATTAAATAATACATTTTTTAATAAATGTTCTTGAATGCTTGTAAAATCCCAACTCATTCATAAAATTAATTTTAAGTTATCTCAAGCTCTTTCCTGGTATGATTGCCCAAAATCAGTGCTTCCCCATCTATTTTCCATTATGACCCTTTTTTTACGCAGGCATGCACATCATGAGAAGTGTATGTAAATGCAAGTTTCCTTTTTCTTCTTTTTGGAGTTATCACCTTGAAGTCTGCAGAAGTCCTTCCAGCTTTTCCTTTATTAAATCCTTTGGCACGAGAAATATGTGCATTTGGCTATCCACTTGGTGCCAGTGTTTGTCTCCACACAAGCCAGAAAAGATGTGTAGTAAGGAGACGAAAATAATACAGGACAGGCAAAGCAAGCCTCTCAGGATTACTGAATAGTCAGAATGCTGAAGCATAGCATTGATGTGAAAAGCCGTCGCATCTTTTTTCTGAAATAATCAGAATGACTTTAATTGATTTAGCTGCTTATCTATCACACCAAGTTATGATTTGTGCACATATATCCCACTGCCCCTGAGATGCAGGGTATTTTCTGTAATTTGGAACAGAGCAACAGTGTCATTTTGTTTCTCTCATTTCTCATCCTCAGCAAACTACAATAAATAGAATGAACCAGGGAACTGAAATTTCTTTTCCACTTTGAATAGATATGTGATTGCTAAATTAAAACATGTGAGAATTTGATACAAGTAGCACAATGGAATCAGTTGATGACATGAATATCATTGAAGAGAAGCCAGTTACAGCCATTCCATCTGACAAGAAAAACCCACAGTGATCTCCTAACAGCCTCAATTAGGAACTCTGGCTGAATTTTCTCCAAACAAAAACAGAAATTGCTGGAAAAGCTCAGCAGGTCTGGCAGCATCTGTGAAGAGAAATCAGAGTTAACTTTTCGGGTCTAGTACCCTTCCTCAGGATTTCTTCTAGTTTGGCTGTGTTAATTTTGGGAGTTTTGTGGAGGGTTTCTCTCCATGAACCCTGGTGGTTTTTCATTATTCCCTGTGGTCACCTTATTAAGTATGCATCCCTCCTCCAAGGTACCACTTTAACGCAGTTTTGCACAGAGCAACAGCAGCAGTGCTCACCAGGACCAGAACTTTCTGGAAATCAAGCAGCAGGCACCCACAATATTTAAGCCCCAGTTGTACAGTATTTCTACCACTACAAGCCAGATTCAGTACTTCACAATGTGTTGCTGTTTGTTTAGAAAGGCCATGTCTAAGAGAGGCAAATTTATACCCCATTTTGCCAGTAGAGACATGGAGTTCCTGGTGGAGGAGGACTGGAGAAGAGGGACGTCCTCTTTCCTCAGGACTACCAAAGGAGACCACAGCATCAGACCCTGCCAGCATGGTCCAAAGTTGTCAGCAAGTAAATGTGATATTCACAGACTGGAGGAACATGCATCAATGCCATAAGAAGGTGTGTGATCTTCTGCACTCAGCAAGTGTAAGTGTCACCATCTTCTCTCAAATACCTCACAATCACATTGACTGTGCTACTGCACCAACCCTACCAAAGCTCACAGTCTATCGTTCTTATTATTGCATGCAGGATCTTCCGTCAATGACTTTCACCTACCCGGTGCTCCTAAACTACTAAGCTTCATGCCCTTGTTGCTTCTTACTCACACTGGACACCTCATCACATCACATCCCTCCACTCCATCCCACCTACCCCCAACCTGCATCAACACTAACAATTATGCCAGCCTCTTGCATCTGACTCAATCCCTCCCTTTTGCTCATCGCAGGAGAATATGGACCACAACAGAGCTGGAAAGATCCCTTAGAGGATGCACCATCAAGATTCTTGCCTGTACCCTCCATCAGCTCAGATACTTGCACCTCAATGGGAACATTAGCCAGACTCAACTCGGGAGCATGTTATACTGAGCACATTACTGTAGCAGGCCAAGGAAGAAATACCCTAGGTCGTTGACATTCCAAGCACTGCTCAGCCCCAGGAGGAGAGGACCCTGTGGTGTCAGCCATTAATAACTTTGTGCAAATGTACAGCCAGTCATAATGGCAGCAGATAGATTTGTCTGAAACACTTGGGAAACTGCACCAAAGATTGGAGGGGTCAATTAATGTCTTCAGTGCCATGCTGACTCTGACGTGAGACACCTTACTGTTTCCATGAACAAGTTGGCAGCAGCCATGCCCAGCAGAACAATCAGAAGCTACAGGAGATGCACACAGATCCAAATTTCATTGCTGTAATTATTAGGGCTGTGCATCAACAGCAAGGTGAGATGGACAACAAGGGACCTCGACCACATTCCTGGTACCCTTGCCCTCAAGGAGACAAGTAGACACCCAGATAGAAGAGGATCCACACACAGGCCCCCACAGGCCCCCA